AGTAAATAAAATATTGGAAAAACTTTTTTATTTCTAACTTTCGATTGTAAACAACTTGAAGTGGAAATATATTACCAAGGTTGAAAAACATTAGGAATTAAGCATAAAATGCTTTAAAATAACCTTGAAATTAGTTGGTATTCTTGTTGGTATGTGTTTTCGGACAGCCGGGTGTCGCTACTGGCGTTCCGGTCACCTCGGGTTACATCCAAGTTGATCTTGTACTGTCTTATTGCACTTGTGGAATTGGCATCGACAGTTGAGCATTATTTGAGAGCCTGGTCACAGTGTACATGCGGGCAACAAGGTTGTCGATGGAATGAAGGGAATGTAAAGCGGCTTTCACTGGTAGGACAAAAAATGTGCCGTCATGCGAAGGTGTTTCTTCCATCACGCCTGCAAAGTTAACCGCGGACTTGTGGAGACGGATAGAGACCGGATTCGTACTATTGCATTCGGCAACTGCTGTTCTCTTAGGGATATCTCTAGCTTTATGACTGCAAGAAGGATATTATAGGCAGGAACGTGGTGAGGCTAGAGTAAGTCCCTAATTTGTGGTTTAGCCCGGGGGATATGAACTCTGCCCACGTTTGATTTTCTTGGAATCTAAGAATCTAAGAACGTTAAATTGAGAAGTTGGCTTCGATTCGGGAAACAAAATTGTATTGGATTGATTGTTCGAAGGATGAAATTAATTACTCATCAAATATTTATATTTTTTATTTATATTTATTAAATATTAGAACTATTGCTTGGACGCCAGTCTTAAAATGATGAAATGATATTTGATTGGAACAAACCATGCTTGAAGTGTTCAAGAGCATTGAAAACTAAACAACTGCTTTAATTAATTATTCCAAATTCCTTTATTATTCCTTTTCAGAATACTTTTCTTAATAGTAAGCGTTAATTGAGTTTAAATTTTCCTTTTCCAACATTTAACAACATGAATGAACAACTGTTCATTCATTCATAAATATTTTTTTAGATTATGTCAATCTTTTAAAGTAACTGTGTAGTAAAGAAAAAATATGTAATTCGAAGAAACAAATAAAAATTTTAGAATTTTGAAACACAAAACTCTTAAAATATTTTTAAATTCTAAAAAGAGATAACAAGTCGATCGAACCAATAAAAACTTCTACCCTATTTAATATTTTACTTCATTTTCAAATTATAAAAGAAATATTTTATTTTCTATTAAAGTCAAATATTAAAGCCTAAGGATATTAAAAGTCTGACTGCATATTTTATTTTTTTTTTGAATATTATACAGTTTGTATGTATGTAAAGTATGTTGTTATTATTATTATTATTATTATAGTTGTATTTCTTTTTCATATTTGATTTTTGACATTGGCAAAATGAATAGGAAATTTTTTCAAAATAAAGAAAAAATCTTGGAAAAAAAAACTGAAAGCAAAAAAAAACTAGAAATAGCTAGAAAGAAACATAATATGCTGTAGTACAAAAAAAAGGATATTTTTCAAGGACATAAGTTATACATCAATAGAAACAAAATATTATTGAATATTGTACCATTGGGTTCCCAATATTCATCTTGATCTTTTTTTGAACTTTTGTTTTGTAACATTTACACAAATACACAATTTTTAAAATACAATATGTTTTCTTCTTATATTTTTGTGATTATGAGCACCCCTTCCATCTTCTGCTTGCAAGAATGAAGTATTTTTTAATATAAGAATTTTGCCTTGTTCTGCATAAACTTATGATGTTTGTATGATGTTTGTATGCATGTAAATATAAAAATATTGCTGAATAGAATAAAATATACTAAGGACAAGGAGAAAGGCTAAAATTTTCTTTACAAATAGAAAATTCATATATGAATATGTGGGAACATACTGACATACACATTAGTTTAACAATTTCTATTTTGTATGATTTTTGTGTATTTGAAAATAAAATTTTGTATTTTTCCGAAGGATGCCATTAGATATTGGTTTTAAAGATTGGTATTTTTTTTGTTTTGTTTTTGGAAAATTTAATACATAAATATTGATGTGAAATCATGAGAAAATAAAATATTAATATGCTTCTGAATGCTTTTCACACATTTGTAAATTTTCTCAATATAAAAAAGAAAAATGTTTTTAATTTTCTTTGTTTAGAAAAAAATTTCAAAAAAACAAAAATTCTTTTCTTTATACAATAAAACATTTTTAGAATAATGAATTCTAAATGGAATGTAAAAAAGAAATTTTTAAAAAGAAATTTAATTACAAATTTTGGAATTCTTGTGCATTTTACTATAAATTAATCTGCATAAATATGCTTGTGTGTATAAGTATACAAAATTAGAAAATATTCAAAATTTCTGATTGTGTGAATATGGACAGGTAAATGTTCATAATTCAAATAAGTAATCACGTATTAATGAATGCAATTGCATATTTACAGAGAGAGTAGAAAAGTTGATTTCAAGAGTGGATATTGTAATACTCACCGTTTAACTTGCATCCTAGTTCTCAAAGAGTTTGTCTCCGAAAAAGAAATTAACACTAAGAGAATTTTATTCAGGATACGGTGTTCGTAAACGATATAAAAAAGGTTGAGAAAACAATTTAGCGGCGATTTCTTTAGAACTCAATGAGTGTATTTTGCTGAATCCGTTAATAATATTAATGGAACTAAAGTTTGAAGCTCTTGGTAAGATATTTAAAAAAATTCTTAAACTTAGTTCTTTGAGACGCTATGCCTAGAGAGTAGAGACATCAGATATTTACAAAAATAAATTGTAATAAATGGGCTTGTTCAATAAAACATAAATCTTAGAATAAAATATAAATCTTACCGTAAACTTTAAAAAGGTTTTATATTTTAGGTATTCCCGATTTACTTTTTCCCCTTTTTCTCAGACCCCTCTTGTGTCGACTCATAAGATCTCTTGCGATTTTCATCACCACCTACATTAGCGCAAAACCTAGGCCGTTGTCTTAAAGTCCCTTCCGAAGCATCTCAGACGTAAGCGAACCACTTCCTTGCGTTTACACAGCAAGTGCTTCGTCATTTCCTTCTCTTCTAGGCAGAGACAGCGGATCTCACCATCCGCTTTGTCCATTCTTTTCTGATAGACCATCGAGTGCCAATACTCAGGGAATACACTCGCGTATAGATTTAAATCTGAGTGACCAAGTGTAGTTGGCTTCCGTTCTCCCGGCTCCAAGGGAGATGTAAATTTTTTGAGTGAGATAGGCCCGAGCAATTATTTCAATGATCGACTCTGGCTCTTTTCTCGCAATCATTCAGGGTACGCAGGACTGTTGTCCTCGGTATCCCAAACCCCCAAAACAGGCCTCCGGCCTAATAAAAGGAGTTATCGCTCTCATTTCCGTTTATGCCGTAGTGTCACGTAACTAACATGAAAGTTACCTTGTTATAGGTAGCTAGGACGCAAAGGCTACCTAAGGTAATCAACGCATTTCTTTAGCAGTTTGGATCACACTACATCAGACGAAAGGGTCCCAAGAACGGCCTTACTATCCGTTACCTGCTCATCCTTCTAATAAACTCTAAAGCACACATTTCAATATTGATGAAAAGTGCCCAAGGGTCCTTGTGATATTTACGTGCTCGCCGGACACGCCTACGCCCAGTTACTGCAATTAATTAGAACACCAAAAAAACTTACATGAATAGAATTTGAAGTATTTTATCATAGAACTCGACCATTATCCAAGCTGTATTGCAGTTCTTTCCTTATAAATAATTTTTTCTCTGTTTATTTTAGTTAGTAGGAAAACATTGGTTAGTGTACAGATTAAAAATAGCCATACTAGTGTAAAACGGCGTCATATTCATACCTACTGTTTTTCATTATTGCAAATTTTTGAGGTAAAGGCCATAATTTCCACAATGTTGTGTGTCTGTCGCTGTAAAGTTCAATTACAAAGAATTAAAAAGTTGTCTTTATTTTGATTTTTATTCTTTTTTATATTTTTCAACGTTTATATACCTTTTTTATTATCTTTTTTTATCATTTTTTTAACATATTTTTAGTTTTTTATTATATTTTTCTTATTGGTTTATTTTTTATTTTATCTTTCTCTAATATATGTATATATATAATTTTTTTTCTTACTTAATTTTTTGTATACATATACAATTATTTATATATGTAAATTTATTATTTATTTTTTTGTTTTTTTTTTTTTATTTTTGGAAACACAATATAAAAATTTTTTATTCTATTTTTTACATGTTTTTTTTTACATATTAGCCTATGTGATTTATCAATATCCGTTTAGTTGACTGTCCGACGATAAAAATGAAAATTTAATAAAAAAAAATAAAATCTATATAACAACAATATGAAAAATCATCAAAAAAAAAATACAAAATAAAATTCCTTTTTTCTATCATAAATTTTTTTGTCTCTTTCTAATAATTGAAATGAAATCATTCAGTTTTTTTCCCTTCTCTTCTCTCATCGTTTGCATTGTATTTTCTCGTTCTATTTCGTATTCAGTTTTCATTACGATATTATATTCTCTGTTTAGCCTTTCCATTCTTGCTAATTAATTGGTAATCAACGCAACAAATAGCTCGAACATAAAAAAATATAGAGTTAAGTTCTTCTTTGTTTGTTTGTTTGCTTGTTTGCATTCCAATTGTTGTAATTGTTCATATTTTCGCAAGCAAACCAACGTTCCAAGTTCATTAAAATAAAATTTTTTTGAAAATTTATTACTTCCCTTTAACTCTTTTTTTTGGAAAAATAAACAAAGCCTTTTCCGAAACTCTTTTTCAAATTTTTTTTAACACTTGGTAGAAGATTGCATTCTTAACATGCCTTGTTTTTGAATTTTTTATAGTTTTTTTTGTTTTTTTTTTTTTTTTGTGAAATTTTCAGCAATTTTTTATCCAATCAAAAATACGTAATAGAATTTTTGAAAACTTTCATAAATTTCATATTTTTTTATACTAGATGTCGGGCCAATCTGTTGTCTTAATAAAACTAAGAAATAATCCTGTTATATAGAATGGAAAAAATAAATAAAATGGAAAAGTTAACAAAATTATTTAGAATTTTAATTTGAGTGTCTATTTTGTAATTTCTCTATGAATTTCTTAAGTTAATAGGGTTTTTGCAATTTTCGGCATAACGTTGAAGCGACCGGTTATTACAAGATAATATAATTAGTTTCGATTTTTGGTATTTAGTTTAAAATAAATGAAAAATTCGGTATTATGTTATGCATGTTTTCATATAAATTATTAAATTATGACATCACTAAAAGTAATGTAATTTAAAGAACATGTTGTAGAAAAAATTTCATAAAATAAATATTAACGTTAATAAAATTTAATTATGTGCATTGAAATTGCGGTTTTATTAAAACCTCAAATATAATTTAAATTAAATTTTTATTACTATATTTACAGGAACGGTTTAATGGTTAATAACTGCTTAATAAAAATGCTTAATAATTTAAAACTTACAGTTCTGAAGAATTTAATATATTCCTGTAGTTGGTTTTAAAATTTCAAATAAAAATTAAAGAACTTGGAAGCCTTTTATCTATACACTGAAACTTAACCGGTTTATCTGAACAAATCTAGTGAAATTCGTGAATTTTCTTAGCTTTTTGTTAAATATACAATTTGAAATTTACTTACCCTTACAAGGATATAAATTGTGCCCGAATACTTGGTCAGATTCCATATAGCAGCCAAATTGATATGGCCGCCGTTGTATCTGTGAGATTTTCTTTAGAACCTTCACGTTGGAGAAATAAGACAAATCATAAAAACTGAAAGTAAAATATTTTTTTGAATTCTTTAAATTTTCAAATTCGAAACAAATTAAAAAAATAATAAAATTATTTAATTAAAAAATAAGAATTTAAAATTTTGCATACTTTTAGGCGATTCAGTTTTTTACCCCCAAATTTTTAAAAATAGGATTCATAATATTTTAGATATGTATATGTCATTCATCTAATAATATCTAACTATTCATTCATATTAGCTAGGATCAAGTTTTGGAACAAAAGATTTATTAATAAATATTCATAATTAAATTAAAACGGGGATGTCAGTAAGGATTGAAAAGCACTTAGCAGCAAAAGCGACAAAAATTATTTAATCACTTTCGATTAATGTAAAAATTTCATACTAAAAAGTTACAATTTAAATATGTAAATGTCTCCTAAACTCATAGAAACTAAAATTAATTTTTAAATTGAATTTTTCTTTTAACCCAAATTTTAATAGAATAAAATTATATTTTTAGAATGATTTTGAATAAATTTGAAGGCATAAAATAAAATTATGTCAAATGATCAATGTTCATTCAACAATTAAATTATGGTAAATTAATGTTAAATTTTTAAATTCTGTTATAGACTGGCAATAGACAGTACATTTAAATAAAATATAAAAAATACGGAAAAATTTCCTCAGAGGGAGAAAAAGGACTTGAAAACCGAATTAATATTTGTTACAATATATTTACGAAATTCGGCAATGAATAATTATCATTTCGAGGTTTTTCAGAAGGACAAACTGGTAAGAATATGCGACGAAATTTGGGATAAGTAGATAAACTAAATGCTTAAAAACGAAAGTGCAATCATGTATGTTGCTTTTGACGCCAACTGTCCTGTTACTCGATAGAGATGAGAGATCAGCTTGGTTGTCGTGTGAAGTTGGTGAATTTAGAAGAACATATGAGCAATAGTCGATTTAAATGGAATGCTTTAGGAGTGGAAATGAAGGTTTTTAAACACATCATCAGGAAATTTTTGAGATGAAAGTTATGAAATGATTGTGCCAGCCTGCGTCAGTTGTCCATTATGAGATAAGATATGCCATGGCAGCCAACAGTCTGTTAGTAAATCAATATGTGTACTGATGTCACAAATTGAAACATCGCTGCATTACTATGAATATGCATAAAGTCTTTGTACTTAGAGGACGCCTTCAACAACTTCAGCGTTGAAGTAATACTTAGGGCATATTGATCTTGGAGGTATTCTTAGGAACGCTGAAAGGTGGCTTTGAGAGCATTTTGTGAATTATAAAGGGTGATCGTATGTAAGGTTCGGAGACATTGGACAACCGGAGAAAATGAGAGGTCCGACAAAACCGACAGGATTCGGACCGAAGGTCTATACACCGACTATAAGCTTTTTGACAATTCCACCGTTGGGGAATTTGAGAAAAATTATATATGAGGAAATTATAAAAGAGGGGGAATTTTAAAAACTTGATCCTTTTAAATATCATTAATGAAACGAAGTAAGTTTCATTATAATTTCGGCAGTCAATGTTGTAATTAATTTTTTGTTGCTAATTGTTTTTTTTCGAGAATTTACCTACGCAAATTTAAAAAGGAACAATAAAAAATTTATGTAACTAGTACTATAAATAGGCAGAACAAAAGCAAAACATGGAAAATAAAAATAATTTTTTTTTTTACATTTAATTTACGTACACACAAAATATTTACGTAATGCATAATTACCTGAAATTAAAATAATTAACAATGAACGATACGATAATAATTGGAGCATAAAATTCCATGAATTTTTATAACTACTAAAAAGTAAATAATTATTCGTCGTTGACACTCTGGATGACATTTTAAATTTATCTAAAATTGATGATAAACTGCTAGCACTACTATTGCCATGTTGCATTGCAGCTGGATGTTCACCATTAATTACATGAACAATAACACTAGCTGATCCTATATATAAAAATAAAAATTAAATGAGAGAAAATGGAAAATTTTTAATATAATTTTTGGCATCTCTTTAAAGTAAAATTTTTAAATTTATTATAATGCGGTTGTAAAAAATTTATAAAGTAGTATTTAAGCAAATTATTTCATTAAAAAGGTTGTTGACTTATCAATATAGCGAACCAGATAAAAAAGGAAGCATTATTGTTTTGGTTACGAATGTACAATATTGCAAACACAATTATGAATTCATTTAAACTGAATGTATAGTTATGCTCTAGAAGTTAATTATTGTGATTTATAATAATTTCGTGATTCAAGGCGAAAAGTAAAAGTGCGGGAGGGGGAAGTCATCACAATGTCAAGTCAATTTTATCAAATTGACCCCATCTCATATTATTCTGAATTAATTTTGTTCAGAAATATCAGGTTTAATGTTTTTTATACTGCAAAAGTATTTTTATTAATTATGATGTAAAATAACACTATTTGGTCTCTATTTTGTTTTGTTTTGGTTTACTAAAGTTATTGTGTAAAATGTCGGTTTTATAGCATTAAATTATTATGGTGACAGTTTGTGGTTACGAGAGAAGAAACAAAAAAACAGAAAAATAGAAAAGTTGTGTTATCAAAGGATGCAAGTTACAGGAGAAATTAATTTTTTTTTGTTTTTACAATTATTGCGGAAAAGAGATAACAAAATAATTTTATTTAAATAAAATATAAAATTTTTTATTGAATTTTTTTCTCATTTTTTTAATTAAATAAACTTTTGTAACATGATAACTTAATGATACTGAATTTTTTGAGGTTAGAATTATTTATTTCCCGTTTTATTGGAAAATTTTTAAATGCAAGATTGAAATTCATTTCCATATTTGTAAATACTGACTTTTAAGATAAAGAATTTCTTAGAAATAAGAGAATTAAGAGAAAGAATCTCTTAATGGATTACGAAATTCTCTAGATTGGTTTTGGAACAAATTCTCTAGAATATTCTGAATTAGTTCGTCATATATCGGCCCACTAATTGATAAAGTGCATTTCTGGCTAATACACTAATTCTAAAGTGTAAATTTAATTTACTTCATATTTAAAAATTTCAATTCCACATATGTGCACTGATCGAGGGGAATTACTAATTAAGAATATTAATTTTATGATTGTTAAAATTTGATTTCAATTTTTTTTGAAAATTATAATCGCTTCATTTTGCATTTTTCATTCAGCTTAATGCATTTTTGGTTTCAAATATTCTAGTGGTTTTTCCACGAAAAATATATGAAAATTTTTTTTCTCATATTCAATTTTTGGTTTCAAATATTCTAGTGGTTTATTTCAAAAATAATACCATTGTGTTTTTATCAAAAATAATTAATATAGTGTAATAGCTTTCATAATACTTATTAATTTATGGTTATATAAATTGAAAGTTGTGGTTTTAAAATATCTTTTGAAATTGAGTATTATTAAATATTGATAAATTATATTGGGAATGACATAATTATTAAGTCTTAATATTGTAAATAAGTCCTCAATCCCGAAATCAGTTTTGCATTCTTACTTGTGTTTTGAATTATGGGAATTTTTTGAAAATTTCGGAAAGAAATCTTGGTCCTGAACAATTAGAATTTGTGTGGTTCAATTAATGACATATACTGAAATAAAAAGAAATCTTAAATTTATCATTTCATCAATAAATTTATGAGAAGCTCAATTTTTAAAACCTATTTAAAATATTTAAAAGTATTTTTATTATTTAATTTTTAAGATTTTTAATATTAAAATAATTCGTGTTCCAGCAGCTATATTTTCACCTTTACAAACGTACATGTACATTGCAATATATGTACATTGCAAGTATATAAAAGTGCCAACATCAAAGACGTCTTTATGCAGGATTATACGTGCAAGAATAAAAAATTTATACGTGCCAATATTGAAAAGATTTTTCTTTTAAATGCCAAAAACACCATTCTTAATATTCGCTATTTTTTTTTTAAATTGTCAAAACTCATCACCACCACCTAGGTTATCTGAACATTCAAAAATACAAGATGTTTCAAAATTTTATGAAAATTTCAAATAATAGACAAAAACTTAATTTGTGAGAGTAACACTTCTTTGCAACTAGGATACTTTAAGCTGAGGAAAACAAGAAATTCACTTCTTTCTCCTTCTCTCTTAATTTTGATTAAAATGAAAACATTTATTGGTAAAATGATAAATTTGGTAATCACTTTAAGGTTTGGAAAATGTTTTTTAAAAAAATTTTAACTTTCATTAGAAACAGGATGCGAAAATATTTAATTTTTGTCTTTGTAATTGATAATAATAACTATAGTATCCCCGGAAACAGACACATTTATAATTTTTCCATTATACATAAAAATTTCGTGTTTCCAATTTAAAACTTGTTAAAAGTAGTGAATATAATAGCAAGCAGTGCACGATCTTAAACAAAATTATCTTTTAAAATTGAAATAAGTACCCCAGTTTTCCTGGGAACAACATCATTCGTATTATAAATATCTATAATCTTTTAGTACTATTTCACTATAAATTCTTAAAATAGTAATTCTTGGATCAACTCCTAAGAGTATATTATGTATATAGATTTGATTTGATTTACGAAAACAAATAAAAAAGTATAGAAAAAGAAATTCTAATATTCTACTGTAGTAGTTGTTTCCCTTGATTTTTAGCAAATAAAAAATCAAAATATTGGAATGAAATGGTACTTTTTATTACATTATCTTTTTGGAAAGTATCTAGAGCTATATAAACTTTTTACTGAAATATAAAATTGAAAACGATTGATTTGATGTTTTTCTTTTTGTTTTCTTCTCGATATTTCTAAATTTCTAGCAAAAAACAATTTTTTTTTTTAGTTAACGATTTTATGAACTCACTTATACTTTTTAGTACTTTTTTCAAAAATTTTTAGAAAAGTGTTTAAGTTTCACACTATCCGCCCGCCTGTCCGTGAATACGTTTTCAAAATTTCTGCACGCATTAGGAAAGGCAGCTGAAATTGTATATTCTTCTAACTAATTCTATATTCTTTTAACTTATTTTTGTGAAAAAAAAATTCCGCCCCCTAGAAAAATTCTGAAAATGACATTTTTTAACTACTTATTTTAACGAACCCACAAACACTTCTTTTAAGTTCTGCAAAAGCAAAAATTAATGACTGGATTTTTCCGTCTTGAAATTTCATAGTTTAATTCTCAATTGTCACTCAATGAGGGCCTGTATTCGACCATTATATTAAGGCCTCCTTATTTTTTTTTTTGTCACATCCTAAATGTATGCAATCATTTGAAATATTTTGGTATTGGATTGAAAGTGGTTTAAAATGTAACAGATTGTTTTTACAAGTAGTATTTTCACTTGTTCAAGGGAAAAGTGCTGCATTAAAAAACATTGGTTTTTCCCATCTTCATTCTATTTGGTTGTATTGTTTTGCTCTGGAATTTAAATTCAAATAATCGTTTTCATGCTCCAAAAACTCCTTTTGGAAAATATTATAATTTTACTATAGATTACATTTAATATTTGTTTTTTTTATTTTCATTATTTTTTTTCTTTAAATTTTTCTCTAAAAACGCTCTTTCCACACTTTTATATTTTTAGTTTAGTGTAAAGAAAAAATGGTCGATTAAATGTCTGATTGTACTTTAAAAAAATGAAAAATACATAGTAGAAAAAATTAAGAGTATGAAATGAAATTGGTCCGATCAACTTTTAAGTGTTGTGAAGCGTAAAATAATTTCTTTTATTTTTTCTTTCGATATTTCGATGAAATTTTTGAATTAACAAGATTCTTTAAGATGAAAACGTTTTAAGCTAAGCTCCTGCCTTCAAGGAATAAAGAATTTTTTTTTATTTTTGAAAATTTTCAATACACCAAAAATAATTTTTAAATTTCATAGTACTAAGAAAAACAAAAACAAAATTTGAAAAATTTTATGTAGAATTTTTAGTGATTTTAAGAGCATCTGGGACGTCGAGTTGCTTCAAGTGTAGAGAATTAAACATTATAAGTAGCTTTACAATTTAAAAGAAGTTATACTTGAATAAGTAATAATATTTAAGGTTTATGACTCTTACACAAATTTTTGTATGATGATGAACAATAAATAGAGTGTAAGAATATTTTAGATTTTTTTCGATCAAATGTTCTGTGTTATTCAAAATGAAAAAGTTAATGTTGTATGTGCCGTGAATTTTAAATTTAATAAATCGATACAAAAGATTATAAGGTCATACTATTCATAGAGTAGTTCGGAATTTTCATAATATATGTAACTGAAATGAAAGATCAAATTGGGATTGATATTTTTTACTTGAGTATAATTTAATATAGCAGAATCATAAATTATATTCTAGTGCTAATTAGAATTATTTTCAATGTTCAATATAAAAGATGAAATTTTATACATGAATTTTTATTTACAAAACTTAAAATTATTTCGAATTGCAAGTGATTTTTCCTTTCATAAAATTACTTGCTTCAATATTTGCCTCATTGTTGCCATGATGCTAAAGTTAAATTGTTATAAATGTAGATTTACGGGAAGAATAAGATATCATGTATGCATCCTTGATACCTTCTAATTTTCAAAAAAAAACTCTAATTATTATGAAAGAAATTAATTTAAACAAATTTTTTTTACGAGTACTTGTTAAATTTTTTTTTGTGAATTGTTCAAGTGAAAAGTGAATTTAAAACTCTTACCGCATTACGATAAATTTAACACACGTGCCAAACCAAAAAAGAATTACATGAGAAAAGGTCACGTTAAAGACAATAAAGTTGGGTCAAACCAATGGTTTGTATTGTAGCACTTTTCCCTTCAACAGGTGAAAATTCTGCTTTTAAATACAGTTTATGTGCACCTATCACAGTATTAAAATTATTTTCATTCATATACAAAACTATTTCTAGGATTGCATATATTTAGGATGATGCATACATGGAGTCTTTGAAATAAAGCAAAAATTAGTATAAAGTGGGGTTAACATAAAGCTCGATTTTAAGGATTAATTGTATGAGTTAAGAAAAATAATTATATTTTTTAATGTCATGGAATTTACCGTTAGCTTTTTGCGTTTATAGAAATTTAAAAAAGCTTGCGGTTTCGGAAATATAAGGTGTCAAAAATTGAAATTTTACGAATTTCAAGAGGTGATAACTTGAGAGGAGGTGGAGATGGAAAAAAATTTTCTACTAACAAAATAAACTATTTATTAATATCTAAAAGGTCCTAAAGCTTCTACAATCTGGGGTCTAGAAGAAAAACGACATCAAAAATTTGGAAAAAAAGGACTTTAAATAACGGTAAATTTGAGCGGCCATTTTGTTTTTCTTAAGTTGAACTATAGTATACCGCACAAAGCGAAGCAAGCCACTGCCTTTCTGCGTTTGCAAAATTTCAAAAATGCTTATGGTTTCATTGCAACAAATATTTAAAAAAGGCCATTTTTAAGGTTTTGGGGGGGTATAACTTCTAGAGGGGGGGAGATAGGTAAAAATTTTGTTCTACGGAAATAAGTTTCTAGTGAAGATCTATGTACGTATTAAATTTCAGCTTTCTATCTTCAAAGGTGTAGAAGTTTTGTAAACAGACACACGGACAGACGGACGGACGGACGGACAGAGTGAAACTAATAAGCACTTTTTTCAAAAAATTTTTTGGAAAAGTGCTAAAAATTAGCAACGTTTAAGAAAAAATAAATGAGGAAATTATTCTTTCTTAACAAACAACAAAATTAAATATTTTGGTTGAGGAAGTTGGAAAAAAATTTTATTTTTTAAAATTCAAAAAAATTTTTTTTCTTTTGGTATAAAGCCAAAAATTTAAAATTTCTTTTAAGTAGTAATTAGATTTTCATTTTGACTTTTGAAAATACTTCATAATTTTGTGGTTCACCTTTCAATTCTGTGCATAATTTTATATTTTTAGTCATCAATACTTTTACCATTTTTGGTAAATAGTAAAAGGATTTTCTTGCATTTAAGAATTTTTGTAGAATTTCTTATTTTATTTTATAAGTGCACAGTTTCCACTTTTGACATTAATTATTTGTAGTTGGGTTTTCCTCAATACAGTGTCCAATGTCTTTCTAATTTTCGAATTTCGAATTAAAAACAATTGACAATTAAATTTCTCTTAGCAATGTGCAGACATAATAGAGAACACGGAAATTCAAATATTCGTCATACAATTTCATTATTTCCGTTCAAGTGAAAAGATCGGAACGCAACGTGTAATTAAAATTGTAATAATGAGAAATAAATTACTGGTTTATTGCGATTATTTTATAATTTCCCATTTAAATTCTATAAAATTACTAGAGGTAAACTATATTTAAATTTAAAAATATTTCAATGAACTGTTGGCAAAATATTAATTTTTATTTTGTATGAGTACCAACCAAGTTCCATTGTAAATATTTGATTCAAAGGAGTTCTTATAAAGGAATGTTATGTAGGATAAAACCAATAAAAAATTATTAAAATTTTAATTTTTATTTTTTTGCTTGTTTTATTTAAATATTGTTTAAAAAAATAAAAACATAAATTTTTTTTACCTGAATTACTCGGTGAACATGTATAATTCCCTGAATCCATAGCAGTTGCTTTTGTTATTAATAATCTACTTGTTTTTGTTGAACGCTCTGTATAAACATTAATTCCACGCCTTTGTGAATAATTTAATACACGATTACCCTTATACCAATATATAAATGATGGTGCAACAGGTGATTGCATTACAACACATGTTAAATTTATGTTACTACCACTTTTTATAAAGAGTTCTGTATTCCCAATTATTTTTGCTCTAGATACTAAAAGAAATAAAATGAGAACAAAAAAAAAATTAATTTATTTATTTTTAATTATTATTTAACAAATGTGTGTGTGTAACTTCTTTCTTTAGCATACATAATGGGGTAAAATATTAAAACATTTCATTAACCCATTTATTCCTAGTGTATAACTATGGACTTTTAGGTGTTATACAAAAATTTTGCTTTTTCATTATTGCTTTTATTGTAAATGTGTTTAAAGGTACCTGAAAAAAAATTATTTAATTTGGAAAATATGGGTTAATCATATTAAGTAAGAGTATAGTATTTTTAATGGAACCCAATGCGTCAAGAGGACATCTTTTCCAGGCTACCACAGTCATTCGCAACTTATTGTAGTCTTTCAACGCTCCCGTCCATGTTATCCCTGTTCCAAGTATAAAACTACAGATATACTAAAGGGAATTGGACAGCAGGAAAAAGCATTTGCGAGACCGGGCACCCAGTATCAGGAAGTCGTAAAGAATGTGCACGGCGGTTTCATCACAGTTCCCGCAATATCTGTACAAGGCGGAGTCCGGTTATCTCAGCTTATGCAGGTGGTATTTTATTACTTAAAGAAATTTACAACAGCACATCCCCGGTTTCTATCCATATTTAATGACTCCGCGGTTAACGTTGCCGAGCTTTGATAAGCTTTATTCCACCCTAATGTGCAAAGATTTTGTGCGTTCCCATTTGTTATTTCCAATTTTGAGAGCCAGGTAATTAAAATTTACCCTATACTTTAATATCTTCGATAGTAAATACAGTTCAGAGAGTTTTTAAAAATTTAAAAAATTTTCTTTTTGTGCTAAATAGCTACAATTTTTTTTCAAATCATACTTTTATCCTTTACCTGTAGTATCTTAAAAGCTAAATTTTTTTTTCATTCTGTATGAGATCATTTGCTCAACCTTTTAATACTTTGTATTTAAAAATTCTGATTTAAACAAGTGAATTTTTTTTTCTTTCTAGAGTTTTTAAATTTAATGAGAATAAAATCGATGTTTCTTTGTATTAAAGAAAACAAGAGAAAAGATAATTTTTCCTTAAAGACCTAATAATTAGTTTCAAATAGAAAATTGTTTTCTTGCTATTCATCGTAACTCCATAAAGGGAAAGAACATTAAAATAAATATAAAGGTTTTAAGATTATGAATAATGCGAACAGAAATTGAGACCCCGTATACTTCTTCGAAGTTCACGCATTTTCGACAAATAGAAAAATTGGACTCAAAAAGTCTCATGAACCAAATACAAATATGAATCAAATAAATTGCGGTTTGTCAAATTTTTAGAAAATAATATAAAGTGAGGCAGCCAAATGGAGGAGGACGACACCATGGAGCACTTACTGTGTGAGTGCGAGGCGGTTGCTTGCCTGCGACTGAGATCCTTCGGGGGGGCTTTGTGACCCCAGGGAAGATCTCGCAGCTTGATGTAGTTGCCATACTCCAGTTTGTCAGGGACTTAGGAATAGAGCTAATGTAGGGGGAATGGGAATCACAAAATATCCTATGGGTCGACTTGAGGGGGCCTAAGGGCTTTGGTCCCCGTGGAAAAAAAAAAAAAGCCGCCCAATCTATGCCAATCTATCAACTTTTCTTTGGATGTCGAGAGTATAATAGCATTCTGTTTCTTTTGACCGACAGCATTGCAAGAGGCACCAAATTTTGGATGTTGAGTTTTCGGTGGGCACGCACTCCTCCCTTGTGCGTGAATAAACTACTCTGTCTGTCTGTGGGTTGTGTGTGCACGCGTTTATATCAAGTTCGGCTGAACCCATTTTGATGAAATTTTATATGTGAGTTTATTGTGGCTATGGCACGGCTTGATAAACTTTTGGGATACATCAGACGTCTAGAACTGGACCTTTTTGCCGGCCAATTTCACATTTTTGCGTGTAACAAGAGAAATAATCAACCAATTTTTTTGAAATGTGAATAAATGTGGGATGCTAAAACAATCAATTTGTAAATATTTTGGAAAGATCAGGGATCGGAAACCAAATTGACGGCCGTTTTTATATTTTTACCATATCTATGGAACAGAATTTCCTGAAATTGTATATATGAGTACTGGTTGATATCGAAATTAGCTGGTGAACTTTTCAGGAAATCCGGGTAGAAGAGAGCGAGATTTTACTAAGAGCCAAATTTAAACTTTTCTAGGTATGTTACAATATATATTGCGTTTAGTTATATTCTGACCACATTAAATTTTTTTTATATCTGAGATTATATACTTGACATTTTATAATTGAATTATCCAAATGGATGAAAGGTTTAAAAAACCAAAAGTTCAAAGATGAGCACGTTTAAATTTTCCTTCTTGTTCAAGGATAATATTTTTGAGTTTTGGTAAAAAAGTTTTCCCTAAATATTTAAATTTAAAATAATTCCTAGCGTTTTTTTTTCCAGATTGAACTGATTTACGTCACTTCTAAAAAAATTAAAATCATAACGGTTTTATTTCCACCTGGATTCAAAAATTTTAGAAAAAAAGTAATAGTGCAAAATAATTTTTTTTGCGAATGCTATAATAATATAAAAAATGTCTTTAATCCATTCGCAACCATATGTGTTAACCCCACGAGGAAATATTTTTTTCCTATATGATATTCCATTTTTCTACTTTATTAAATTTAACGGTATTAAAATTTTTTTATTTTGTTTATAATGTTATCCTTTAGATTCATATTTTTTATATAGCGATAAGAGACGGAAGAAGAGAAGAATATTGAAAGCTATCGAAGGTGGAATTAAAATGTATTAGCGAAGATGATGAAAAACATGAATTTCGTATTATCAAAAATGGCCACCCATTCTGTTTTATTAATAATGAAGGCGAGAGTTTTTAAGATATTATAAAAATAGTATGCGCAATTCTTTACATTAATTCTATTTTAGGTTTTCTTCTGACAACCTTCATTGATTTGAATGAAAATTTTTCTACATATTACCCAACAAATGTATGTTGTTATGGTTAATTTACTCCAATAAGGGGATTTTACTCAGAAAATTTTAGAATTTTAGAAATTTTAGAATGGCATTTAACTTGATATATTCATATGTACCTAGCTATATTTCATTTATTTGAATTTAAAGTGAAATTATGAATTAAGTTGAAATTTCCTTTATAATTCATCATCAAATTCTATACGGCTAATAGTAAAATAATAATGAATGAAAGCATATTCCTAAATTTTCCGGATGTCTCAATAATTTCCGGTTCAAACTAATTTTTTTTATAGGTTTTTAACTTTTTATTTGTTTAGGAAAGTAGAAAAAACAAAGTAAATTTTTTTTTTCATAAATTCGTAGAATAGAAACATATTTTTATTTTCTTCCTACACAGTTATAAACTCACAACATCCTTTCATAAATTTTACATTAGTTTGTATAAAATAAAAAATAAAAATGAAATTTTGTTTAGAATATCGATTAATAGCTAGGATGAATTTGGTTTGATTTATTGTATTTTAACTTTTCGACGTCAAAGCATTTTAAATATTTAGGAAAAATAAAAGACCAATATAGAAACAAGACCAAGTTTTCAAAAAGAATAATAAAATTATAAAAGGAAATTCAAAGAATTTCAAGGCCAAAATTTATTCAAACTCTTTTAAAAAAAAACATCTGCTGCCAAGTTTTTGTGTAAGTGCCTATATACGTTTAGTGCCTATGTATGTTAGGCGTCCGTACGTGGGAAGGCATTTTTCCTTTAACTTTTTTTATTTTTCCTTTTAAAATTTTAATTCGTGTCATGCTATTTAATTTAAACATTTTACACATGAGCCCTGATTTTTATTAATTATTTAAGAGTTCATCAATATTAAGTATTGTAAAATCTTCTTGGAGTGTATCGTATAATAAATAATATTGGTAAATTGAGATTTTGAAATAGAATCAAATTTATTTTGGTTCTATTTCAATAGAATTTAATAAAAAAATAACTTAAATAAAATTTTTACAGTAACACTTGCAAAATAGAAACTTTTTTTTTCTATTATTGTCCTTCTCTTTTAGATATAAAAAAAACTCTTTCTCTTTTACTCTAAATTTTTTTCATGTCAACATTTTTCTTTTTATATCTCTTTAACATTTTCATTTAAACTTTCTGTGAAAAACGTTTTCCCAGAAATCGATAAAATATCAGGTACCGCAAAACATCATACTTTTAATTTATATATAGGTAGAAATTTTCCACATCATTTATCTTCATTTAATGCTTAAAAAAAATAAGAGCAAGAGAGATGATAAGGAAAATGTTGCAGAAAATAATAATAACAACACTAAATAATAATATGAACAAAAGAGAAACTAACTCCTGTATATAAGGAAAACTCTTTTTCTCATTATCGTAGTAAAAGTTTTCACCGCACTTAATAATATACATATTCTTATACTTTATATATTTTGCATGTATATTTTAACTTATAAATGAAACAAACCGAAAAAATAAATGTGATGTGAACAGCACATAGCCGACCATAAGATATATTGTCTAGCGAAAATGTTGCATAAGATCACTTATAAAATCATAAGGTGTCAAATTTCTGAGTGTAACGTTGGCACTTATAATGACCTCACATTCTGAGACTGTGATTGGAAGGGCCCAGAGTTCTCCGTTTGGAGGTTCAGACGTCTCTGTGGAAAGTCTGTGAAAAAGTCTCTGACTCCTAGAATCATGTACTGGATGTATCTGTCGATTGTTCGTCCAGTTGTTACATATACTTCTGTGGTCTGGTGGAGGAAGATATATCAAAAAATGACCCAGAACAAGCTCTCAAAATTGCAGGGAATTGCGTGCTTGGCTATCACTGATGCAATGGCAACGACGCCGACGTCTGCAATGGGGGTTCTGTTAAACTTGCCATCTTGAGGCTAGGTCCCAGTCTGGTATGGCTGCGCAAAGGATCGCTAGTCTTGATACTCGGAGATGTGGTGGGCTGGCGAACCATCCAACCGTGACTGGGGCTTTATCATACTCGGGTTGCTCAGGTATGCCCTGTGAGGAGCATGAGCTAAGATTCAATTTCGAGAGGTCCTTCAGGATCGTGTTTCGTAGAAGGGAAAGTTGGGAGAGGGATGGGAATGGGAAACCCCTGGATGGGCGAAGATCGAATGGCACACGGACGGATTTAAAATTTGATTGGCGTTGAACCTCTGTATACGCGAAAACATTCGTAGAGGATATGTGAGCAAGACTTTTAACAAATTCTCGGATATTCAGGCAGTGATCCGGGCGCTTAACTTTTACAAAATCAAATCGAGTATGGTGTGGGAATGTCTGCAGGCCCTAGTGGAACTTGGTAGAAAGAACAAGGTTATTCTATCGTTGGTCCCGGTGCATGTAGGTATTTATGACAACGAGGCGGATTCTCTGTAAACGGCCGACGATACACATGTGCATACACAGACCAACAGACATCTCTCTAAAAATGGTTTATTTACACTTTCCTAGCATAGAAAAATAAATTTTCGCCGAAAACTTGAAATGTAAAATTTGTTGCCATCACATAACCTCTTATTATATGCAAAGCGATCAGTAAAAAAAATTTAAAAAATTTGTTTCCGAAGAGAAATGAAAGTAAGGAGAATAGAGAAAAAAGGGAAAATAAAGAGAATAGTGGAACCTATCAGTAAAATGAAATTTAAAGTAAATTACAATTTGATTAGTAAAGTTTCAAGTTTTTAAATTTTATTTGTCATCTTTCGTTTTTCTTTGTTTTTTGTTTCATAATTTTTTAACGAATACAGAGTGATTCTTTAAAGTAAGGTTGAAATTTTGAAATAAATAATTTTGATTTTAAAAATTTGTTAAATCGTTAAAGTAAACTGGTATAGAGAACATTATTCACAAAATATTTATGAAATTTTTGGTTTTTTAAATAATTTAGGATAAATTAGGAGCATTCCCGTACTGTAGTGTTTCAGAAAGAACGTAATTAGCTTCACATTTATAATGCTATGATTTCACAAAAAAATTAAAGGATAACAATTCATTTTAATCAACGTCGAGTTCTAATTTTATTTATCGGTATCTGTTCGACTGTCGCACTGACATACGCACTGTATGTCCCAACGATAATTCATAAGCTAATTGAGCTACGCTCACCAAATTTTCACAAATCTTTTATAATATTAAATGCCGGAGCCCTATTTAAATAGGATGTGTTCGAAGCAGTGGTTCAGTTTTGGGCTGAAAAAGTGTGGAATATACAATAAAACTCTTAAAATTATTCATTCGTTCGGGTATCACAAAGCTGACACGGTCAACTCCACCTATTTTTGTTTGCATTTAAATTTCATTTTACATACTTAGATATTTTTATATTTAACTTTTATATTAAATTTTAAAATATTTTAATAAAAAAAAAAGGAGCCAAAACAACCAAGAAATAAAAACAAAAAAGATAAATCAAATTTATAAAAGGAATTGAAAAGTTTTTTGACCAAAATTTTTTGGTTTTAAAATTAATGAATACACACGGATAAAGAGAGTATAGACAAAATTTCTGAATAATAAAGAAAAGAGAAAAGAATTAAGAGTTAAAAAGGAGGATTTATAAACAAAAATTTTACTCTTGCTTTTTATATTACTAAAAAGATTACCTATATTATACTGTTATGCTGAATATTGAATGTAGTTGTTTATGTAGGTGAGTACATCTACATACATACATACATAGTTATTAAAAAAGTTTTAAACTTAATTGTGGCTTCAAATCGTTTTGTATTCATTAAAATATTTTAATTTTTCATCAAAATCTATGGGTAAAATATTTAATTTTAATACTTCTACTTTCTCAAGTTTTAATCTTTTCAATTTGAAATTTAATGAGTGAACGCAAATATTTCAATAAAAGCAAAATTACATAACTAATTTGTTTAGAATTCAATAAATCAAAAAATTAAAAAATTTTTTTTGAAAGAGTTACTTAAGTCATTTAGTCAATAATTTGATGATAAAAATATTCATTTTGTTCGATTAAGGAAATCAGAAATGTGATAATTGATAAATAAATTAAAAGTTTTAAATTTTTGAAATGTGATAAAGAATCAAAAGTATTCTTAATACTATCAGGTATTCTTTGCAGACTGTAGCTTGATTTTTGGGCTGGTAATGCAGCATGAACTAAAATATCTATTGTGCTCCCGCCCTAAGCCTCTAGTATCTTGCCTAATAACACTGTTTAATAAATCCAAACAGTCTGTTCTATTACAACAGATAAGGATTTTATTTGTGGAAATATTTTGTGTATTTCCATTCAATTATATTAATAATAAATATATATATACATACCAACTACATTTAAACTAAAACGTTGACTTATTTTTGGTTCCATTGATACTTGACATTCATAAGTACCGGTGTCACGTGGTTGTGGTGATGATATTTTTAATGTCCATTCTTCAGAACCATCTATATGTAATGATTGAAATCTTTGATCGCTAGTATATGTTAATATACCAACTGTTAGTAAATGTAAGTCCCTTTTACGTATCCATGATACCTGCTTTCATCATTAAATAAAAAAAAACAGAAAAATTAAAAAAAAAAATTGTATTATGGTTTAATGGAAGAAAAGAAAATTGTGAATTATAATTTGGCCTTCATATAACTTTTGTTAATAAACTCAAGTTTTTTTCGATCAGACGAAGTATAAACTAAAGAGAGCAATGCAAGTACATATAAATTCCGAATTGAGTTTATAAAGAATTGCACATGCATATATTACGAGTATTACAAATATAAAATAAAGCTAATCAAATAATCGGTTGTCCCAGATAAGACACTGTTCTCATATTAAACAATGGGCTATTTTGAAGTTTTTCGATTTTTCACCCCTACCATGATTTCTCGTTCGCGAAATTGTATTATTTTTCATAACAAAAATGAGAATGAAGACTCTCACAAAAAATTTGAGAATTTTGATTCTCATTCTCTTCTTTCGATATCGAAACATTATTTTTCTCTTTTGTATAAAAAATGTTTCAAACACACTGGAGGTTCGTGATATGACTCATTATCATTTACAATAGAATTTAGGAATTTTATTCAATAAAACCAAATGAAAGAAAGATTTAATTACTTACCGCTCTATCACCTAAATTTTTAACTTTACAATGTAATAATGCAGTTTGACCCACTGTAACCGTAACATCACGGCGTGTTGTATTATCAAAATATGGTTCAAGATATGGATTGTCCCAATAATGATGTGGTAATTCACTACATATTGTTTGGCTTTCTGCAAAAAGACAAAAAAAAAATATGAGAAATTAGAAAAAATGAAAACCCAAAAAATGTAAAAATTTTACTTTGAGTTGAAAAATCAAAGGAAAATTAAAAATTGAGTTTCGTAAACGCTTGATAAATTCCATGAAAAATTCTTTTTCGGCTAAGGTTTCATTTGAATGGAATTTTATTTTTCAAAAGAATCTTTAATAAAATTTTTTCTTTTTTTTAAATTTTACTTCAAATTTTTTGCATTGGTATTTAATTAAATAGAAAATTGTTATGTACCCAGTAAACTTTAATATTTTTTCAAAGAGAATTCAAAAATAGTCTATATATGACCCTTATATTAATTAGTATATGTAGTATGTGACTGAACAAAGAGAATGTATAAAAACTCAGAAAAAATGTACCTATTACAAAAGTAAGATACTTCGATTTTTGAAACAACTTGAAAGGATCCGTTTGGGGAGGATAACAATTCATTCAGCCAAATTATTTAATCAATATTAAACTTAAAAGAAAAATCATGTAATATTTCAATGAATAACAACTTACTTTAAACCTATCCTCTTTGTTACCATGTTATTTTACTTTAAAATAAAATGATGCATAATACAAAATCCTGACAACTTTTCAAAAATAATGTCAAGTATAAAATTTCAATTAACACTCAACTTGAGAAAAATTTAATTTTTTTTTTTAATTTGCATTCAAATCACATAATAACTTTTTCTTTTACAGGATTAAACAAATTTTTTTTGTTTTTCCAAGAGGGTTGAAATACTTTAAATGTACAGAAAATTTTAATAACTTATTTTACCTTTTATTTTAAAAACTTTATTCTCAATTATTTTTTTTTACAAAAGAAAGGTTAACTCTATACTTTAAGTTTTTTTTTTAATATTTTTATGCAGTATAGAAGTGAAAAAACAAACAAATTTTACAGAAAAAAAAGCAAAGAATTTTGTAATTCTAAATTTTTATTAAATTATTTTTCCGTGTGTATTGTGATGTAAAAAATTTCTCAGTGAAATATTTAAAGTTATAGTCACTGAAAAAAATTTGGAGAGTGTTTGCAAAAAATTATGAGATTTACCGCCGAGAATCACAAAACTTTAAACTTGCAGACATGAAAAAAGGTTCTAAATAATGAAAAAGTCAGACAAATCTTTTACTGGCTTCTTCATTCCCGGTGGGAGCAAAAGGCTTCATAAATTGAATCACACTCTGGCTTGGTCTAGGCATTTTTAATTTGATTTGTCATGCTTAAGTGTGATTTGTCTTCCCATCATTTTGTGTTGCTACAGGTTCCAATATAATATCTGCCTGGAAATCGTATTATTCGGTCTTCGTAGCATGTGTCCCGACCATGTCCACTTTCTTTCTTTCATAGTCACATTTATAGGCTTCTGGTCCATAATCTCCCATAGCATATTGTTTGTTATTTTTCTTGGTCAGAATATTCCTCATCTTATTTTTAGGCATCTGTTGGCATATGCCTGTGTTTTGTTGACGTATACGCTTTGTCCTCCAAACATAGTTCACAATAGTCCTACAGTGATACCAATTTTATACAGGCATTAAATATTCTAATTTTGGTGTACTTTGCCAAGAAGGTCGATTTCCATACATGCCATTGACGGCAAAAGGGTATATTATGTCTTGCTTTCTTCCTCCATGGCCTTCCACAATATTGTACAGGCAATTAGAATGTGTCAGTCAATTTGACTGTCGCCTAGGTAAAGAGGGGAATTATTCGTTGTCTTCAATCTCAGAGGCATTTAGTTTTGTTAGTGTTGATCTTGTTAATAATTTTTTCCAGTGCTTATATACTAATAGATACAACTGTTTAACAAAACGTATTTTAAATTTTAGAAAAATATTCATTCTTTACGAAATATTTTTGTATGAAAGTTTTCACAATATTATTTTCGACCTGAAAAAGTTTCTAAAACAATTCACGTATGCCAAAAATTCTTTATGAAAAAAAAAATGTCTTAAATTTATTTGGGTAATTTTCTTTGATAAAATTCTTTATACAAGAAAGAGGCTGAAAAAACATGGAAAATTTACCCTATAGAGGAGAAATAAATTTAACATAAACATCAACTTTAAATATATAATGTAATTTGGGTATAAATGTATGTACCTATTTTATCTACATAGTAATTATAATATATACAAAATATATCTACATAAATAGCCATTAATTTTTCAGTATAACGTAAATGAAGAGATTTTTAAAGAAATCGATTTTTAATATCGGTTAGGCGGCTGAATATTTTAACATAATTGTTAATTTTCAACACTAATGAAAAGAGAAAGGAAGAAATAATGAAATTTTGATTACCTAACGTTATTAACTTTATGGGATATTATGGTAAGAATTAAAATTTAAAAGTGGAAAAGAAAAATTATGGTGGTGTAACTGCCATATTATGTACAACAATAAAACGTAATACATTTATAAAATGTTTCCAAAGTAGCAAGGAATTCGTCCATGAACTCTATATTTATCTAGACATTGTCAACTAATACAAATATAATTGATTTGAAAGTTTGAGCAAATATTTCTAAACATGAGCGACATATTACTTTTGCTCAACTCATTACTGCAACTCAAAAATATTGAGGTTAGTTCTCTTTCTCTTTAAAATGAAAAAATATTAGCAAAATGCTTTAGGTTTGAAAAGTCAAATTGCTACGATACTCAGTAGGCATTCACAATACGGAAACGGGTAATTGAGTTTCTCCCACTAATCTGCAAAGAAAACTTTAGGGTAGACATTCGTAACCGATTTTTTATGCAATATTCGTTTGCTATATATCCGTAGGTAATATTTCTGCAATAGTTTTTAATTTTTTTCACAGAATTCTAAACGATAGTTTACTCATTATACTGTCTGATGTTATTTCGGAATAAAATCTGTGTGTGTTCTTCAAAATTAATTTCTCAATATTTTGTATTTGTGTACTAAAAACATGTTAATTTTCCACTTATTATAATGTTTAGTCTTTCTATTTCAAAAAATATAAAGTAAATCAATATCAGAGTAGGTAGTAGGTATTTTTGATTCAAAGGAAGAAAAGTCCTTGTCATATAAAATTATACAAATGTCTGAATAAAATGTTATAGTTAGGCTATAATTTAAAATGAAAGGAAAAGGAAGCATGTAAAATGTAAATATTTCTATACATTAAAATAATAGGAAGTTTTCTAATAAATTTAGAATGTAAACGTATGTGTATGTATAACTATAAAGTTATCTATATGTATAAATCAATTTGGACTAATATACTGTGTACAGTACTTTAATATTACTACTGTGGTGCTTAAAATAATAGTTTAATTTTTTCGAATATTATGTGAAATCAAGCCCAAGAAATTTTGCATTTCGTAGCACAAAAATTTATAAATGTGTATAATATCGAAATTTAGTTGTAGTTTTTCTAATTTTCTAATATTGTAATGTTATCATAATGACATAACTACTTAATTAAACTCGTGTTGTTGCAGTGTGATTTTAGGATCGTTTCTCCTAAAAAACAACCATTTTCTCCTAAAGAGCCATTTTATGTCTGGCTCATTTTCACGCTTTAATTAACTTTTCGAACCAATTAATATCTTTCTCTTAATACCCCATATAATTACACTTACATTTTGTTCATGTTCTTAATTTCCGGTTCCCAATTGTATGACCCCTCGTGATCGCGTGTGACCGCCTAAGCTTTTTCGTAAACCTACAAAAACAGATATCGGACGCATATTGGGTTAACAGTACTGGAGTACGTAAAGGACTACTTGCATGACCAACATCCATGATCAACAACAACGTGACTAACTTGCATGACCGTCGCGGAAACTTTGCAATGAATCTCCGTCAACTGTGCATTGAAATTTCTTAGTATATATTAATTTTTTTGCAATTTTTATTGATCTGGACAAAAATTGTTATCCACTGTTGTTTATGGAATCATTGTTAAAATGAGAATGGTCGCAAAGATTATGTAAATTTTGGATATGTACAAACACAAACGCATAGGTATTTTAGTATATTTGTATAATATGTATGTGTGCATATAGAAGAATATTATGTACGTTTGGGATACCATTAAGTCAAATATTTTTAATAGAATAAATTTTCTTGATATTTCTATTTTAAGTTTATTTTTGCCTTTCCATTTTCCTCTCTTCCATTCTCGTCTCTCTCATACTCTCTCGCTTTATTTCTCTTTTCTTCTTTTCTGCCCTTTAACATAATTTAATACACAACATTATTACTCTGATTTACAAAGTTCATTAAAAGGTCTACAATTTCCTAAAATCCTTATATACATATAATTTTAATCTGAATATTCTAATGACTGTGACCCAGAAAAATAAGTTTTCCACTTAGATGAATTTTGTATAAAAGAAAAAGAAAACTTTTTTTTTTAATATACGGTGCCATATTTATAAATAATAACTTAGCTTCCATACATAATAATAGCATGCCACCGCTATTAAATAAGTCTGGAAAATAATTAATTCTGAGATTTCTAAGTCATTTGTAAATTTAATAAAATATATATTGTGTATTACATGTGTGTGTAGGTGTAGTTATACGGATCCATATTTTAGTTCTTCTAAAAGTGTGCTTCCAAAAGAGCTTCCATATTTTAATTAAATAAAGTTATTAAAATAAATATTAGTTTTTTTTTCACATTTACTTGAATAGATAAGAAAAACCAAATGGCTATTACTACTTCAGAGCATACTCTCAATTTTTTTGGGTAAATGTTAAAATTTTAATAATGAAGAATAATAGAAATTTTTTTCGAATTTTATTTCTTTTAGTTTGCTATCTTTAAAACAAAATTATTTAAGAATATTTGATTTTCTCATCTTAAATTAAAATAGTTTTTCTATAGAATATCAAGAAACTTTATTTATATAAAAAAAATTAAAAAAAATATTGTTCGTTGACGGAGAAAATGATAAATTCAATACAGAATTTTTCATATTCTCCG